TGTTTGGCAATTAGGACTTGAAAACGAATGGAAAGTCAGAAATTCCTGCCCTTCAGTCCACTGGCAATAAAGAATTGGATGATATGTCGGAAGAATTAAAAGAACTCCAAATGTAAATATAATGATAGACTTAAAGACAATAATATTGATTGATTGCATGATTTGAAATGCAGAGAGAAATTACGACTGGAATCTGAGTTGCATTCAGACGAAGCGAGTATTAGACTGAAAGAGAGCGAAATAAAGAGCATTCAAAACGAAATCGAAACTTTACACCAAATGCTTAAACAACTCGATTCGCAGAAGTCTGAGGCGAGAAAACGATTGGACGATTTGGGGGCTCAGGTATTGCATAGACGGCTGCACTGAATCGTTATTTTCAAAATTTTAATTTTGTTGATTTTTTTATGTTTTACTTCGCATGAAATCTGCTTTTATTTTAAATTGTTTTGCGAAACAGAAAAAATTGTTAGAAAAGAGTTTGCATGAAATTAATCAAAATTTTTCGGAGGAGAAACTTAAGGTGACATCAAATCTCCCTTTTATTGATTTTTTACTTATTTTTGAGTATTTTTTGTTTGCTATGATTTTGTGCTGAATCTCTGTTAACATTGTGTTTGTGTTAAACCGGATTAAAGGTTGAGAATCTGACCCAACAATTAAACGATCAAAAAACAAAAGTTGAGACACAAGAGAGTGAACTCTCGACTAAACGCAAAGAACTCGAAGAATTGAAATCAGAGGAAACTAAACTCGAGTCCCAATTGGACTCAATTCGAAAGGAATCGCAAATGTTGTCGAAGAATACGGGCGACACTCAACTCGAAATCAGTCAAATCGGGACCAAAATTGTGGAGTTAGAAGAATATGAGAGGAGAGTCAACGACGCCATCAATGAATACGATTCAGCGCTTTGTGCGCAAGATTTGGTCAAAATATCCAATTTGTTGCCGAGAACTCTGACCCCTCCTCTCGTCGAACCCGAACCGCAATCAGAGTTCACACAAAACGGTTTCAATGCATTCGCAAATGAACCGGAGGTCAAGGAAACCGCTGTTGGCTTTACAAGCGATCCATTCGCCGGAGAGGATCCGTTCAGAGGTAACCCTTAATTGCATTGTTTTTGATAATTTGGTTTAATTTATACTTTGAAATGATTTGAATAGAAGACCCGTTCAAGAGTGAGAGTAAAGGTGACGATCCGTTCGCTTCCAACACTTTTGCGAACTTTAATTCCCAGGAGGCGTCCAAAGGGGCCTTCGATCCATTCGGAACCGGATCTTTCACTGCCTCTAATAAAGTATGTATTCAATGTTAAACACTATATGTTTAGCGTATGATCTAATGATTGACTGATTGAATGTGTGATCGATAGCCCGATCCCTTTGGTTCCGACCCGTTTGCTTCGCAAGCGATTCCATCGACCGTTAGATCGGAGAGTCCGACACCAGAGCTGCCGCCAAAGAAGAGCAAAGCGCCGCCTCCACGACCCGCACCACCGAAACACGCGAGCAAAACGCCAC